TGAACTGACCGAGTAACCTAGACAAGGAAATTTACAGAATGCAAAAATGCATGCTAAAAAAACTACTAACACCTGAAGCATGGACATAATACTCATGGCTATAATATTATAGAAGCAATATGATGAAAGCACGCAAAGTTCCATAAAACCTATTGTTTAAAAGCTGGATAGACTTTTTTTCCTCCACGTTTATACCCTTGCTTATGAATTTCTTTTCAGTTTTTGCCGCTGGTGTTGGAGGGTATTGTGAGAAGGTAGTGGGCCAAAATTCAGCATTCATTGTTCATCTACTTTTCCTTATTTTGCCTCGTGATAGCTTTTCCCCCTTAATTTCTAGGGTATTTTGGGGAAACTATGCTTGCAATTTTAGGATCACTCTATTGTGACTTTTCCATTTTTAACACCTTGATGGATGGGGAGCTGTGAGGCACTTTTCTGGATGATGATGATGATGAGCCTTCCCTATTTAATTTTCCCACTTTCGTCCTTTTGATGAGACAGATCAGTGGTTGCGTGAGGGAAGGTATGGCTCTGGGTAAGGGAGGGATTGCCAATGTTGGGAATACTCTTTATAGCTCCACAGAAATAAATAAGCAGGTTGTAGCATTTTTTGTGGCGGGTTCCAGCGTATCCCAAGATAAAGCTAGGCTGATGTGTTGTGTTTGATATAAATAGAACCTATTCTTCTCCAAAAGCTATATATACACTAATCTTCAATTCTATAAAAATGGGTTACCTTTCCCTCTTGTGGATACCAAGAAGGACAACCACCAGAAGTCTTTCAAATGACACCTCCATCGAGGTGATAACAAATTATTTCCTTTGATTTAGAGAACTACATTATATTTTCAGTAATTAGGTTGCATTTTTCACATCTGTTATTGCTCAGTAAGAGTGATTTAGGTTATTATTAGTAATTGATTATGCGGGTTGCACGATTGAAATTTTGGAGTTCTTATCCAAATTAACTTCAAATTTTAGCTACTTTTACCTTGCAAATTTATTATTAGTAATTGATTATGTGGGTTGCACGATTGAAATTTTGGAGTTTCTATCCAAATTAACTTCAAAGTTTAGCTACTTTTACCTTGCAAAGGGTTGTTTAACAAGTTGATAATACCATAGTTTAGTGGGTTTAATCATTAAGGGTTGACAAAACTGTAGTTTAGTTGATAACAACATAGCTTCCATTGGAAATTACCTGAAAACTTTATCGTGTTTAGAACTTTCTACATGGGTTTTCTGAATTCTTTTAAGCAATAAAGTTGTATATGTTGTTTTTATTTTAATCTTTCTATTAATACAACACGATATTTGCTTTCGCATGGAGTTTATTGTAAGTATTCAGTATTTTCATTGTTTTAGATGGTGTGCTTGATTTTCCAGTATTTTCATTGTTTTAGATGGTGTGCTTGATTTTACATGATATAGGTGGCATATTGGAAGAGCTTCATCAACAAAAGCTATTACTTAAACTTAAAAGCAAGAATATTTCTTTATTTCTATGATTCATCAAACTTAAATTGTTATTTCATATTGTTATTCCAGTATAGTGACCCTACACTTGGTGGCATGACCTTGGGTATTGACAAGAATTATCGGCATGCGTCTATTATGATTTATCCCCTTTTTGTGGTAAATATACTTAATTGTGATTATATAGTTATTTCCTTTATCTTTTTTTGCTTGAATTTAATTGACCAGCACGATGATGGCTCCAATAGCGAGTTCTGCAAAGCATTGAAAAGGATCACAGCTTATGCGAAACCACAAAGCAATATGACTTAAAGGTAATTAATAAACATTTCTGAACTTACTATTTTTGACAGTTCTAATTGCAATGGCTTAAGGTCCTTTCTGATATGCATAATATCAAAGGTAGAAACTTATACTAATGCAATTTTCCTGTTTAATTTGACAGGAGGTAGAACCCTAAAGCATGACAAGCCCTTTGGCCCCTTTAGTAGATGTCAAAATTGGAGATGGGAGGATAAGCGGAAAAATCAATTCATACTTTGTGGATACCTTACAATGTTAGTGACAGGCAAAAGGAAATAGTTGTTACTTCAGTTATGTCTTTATCACAGAATTAATAACCTTGTTTTAAGTGTTCATTGTAATTCATTAGAACATATCTCGACCAGGAGCTCATATGAGATATATGTAAATTATTAGTGACATCATTTGTCATTATGCAATTATTATTAGTTAGACGTTTGTCATTATGCTAATGATTCACAATTAATATTTCTTGAAAATGATTTTCTGGTTTAACTTTCCTTGTCTATTTTCCTGCCCATCCTACAAATATACATTAACATGCTCTATTGATCATCATTAGCTCTTTATGATGTCCAACCTCTTCAAAAAATTTACCAGGACTTATACTACATATCCAGACAATTGGTGTGTGCTTATGCTGAGTTCTAGATGACATATCATGTATGTGCAATCTACTCGAAAGGCATGAAGCATGATCTTAATGATCACTACAGCTTTTGTTACCCATTGTTACAAGCAATGCATATTACACATCATCAACACCTTTTAACTACCTATTTAGTAATCTTCATGCAAGAAAATACCTTTTCATTAAAGTTTTCTTTTTGCATATCATGTCAATCTTTTTAATATTTATGCTTATTGAGATGAAACCTTTCACACAAATTTGTTTTCTATTGTTTAAATAGTTTGAATTCTTCGCTTTTCCCGCATGACTCGGGGAGTATTTGCTAGTTATTACTAAATACAGAAGCTTGTTAAACTTAAGAAGATTGCCAGATTTAAGAGCAATACATTCTAAATCTCCATTAGCAATCCTTCAATGGAGTGGTTGTAGACTTTAGAAAATCTAAGGAATGTTTTTAAGAAAAATTTAAAAGTGGTGCTAGTATCCATCAGAGAAGAAATTATATTTGGATAGACTAATATTTCCTTAACCAGGACGTGTCACTAATCCTAAGGAGAGTTAGTAACCCCCAAAATAAAATAGTCACTTCTTAGATATACATTAGTATCACTTTGAGTATAGAAATGATGTGTTGCATGTTTCCAAGAATTTATATCTTCTTGTTAATTACTCTTATAAAAAGAAACCTCTGATTAGTAGACAGCAAAGATTAAACAGACATGAAAAGAAGATATAGAGAAGTATTGATTAATTTTATGATACTTCTACTATATTACAAAATTTAAGGAGAGGGAGATGAAGATGGGGTCTTGTGTCTCCAGGCTATGTTTAGAAAACATCCTTTCTTTTCTAAAACAAAAAATGTTGAGAATCTTGCCGTTTTGCACACTTCTAGATCTCTTTCTTTTCTCTATGTATTTCTTTGTGTTTTGTAGTATAGTCTCCTTTGAACGGTAAAGGGATCGCTATTTATAGGGAGGGCAAGAGGGAGTTGTTGCCAAATATTTAAAAGAGATAAGCGAAGGAGTTATGGTAACTACCTTATCAGAACTACCTCTTAAATTTGTCTACCAAAACGAATATACCTTTCTTTGTCTTTCATATCTCTCGCCCTTAACAAGCTTATCTTATATGCTTCTTATCATAAGTGTTATGAGCAAGGTTTTAAATATCGAATAACATGATAATATCAAATAGGCAAAATTCATATCGGATTGTGGATATGGGGGAAATATTAGGAATATATGGTAAATATCGGAATGTCATAACAGATGTTAGCATATATAGTATAATGCACTAAAATGTAATCTCAACATACTTAATGAAATCTAAGCATATGAAATGTGAATAATATATGTTTAGAATCACTACTCAACCTTCTAACATATACAAAAGTACAAATCAACATTGATATAACGGGAACCTTCTAAAATATACAAAAATATTCATTTCGATATACAAATCAAGCAACATTTCATCTGATTTTTTTAGGCCAAAATGTCATTTGATATAACAGAAAAATCATGATACCCCACCCAAAAATAGCCAAACATGTATTGTATTGCGACAAGCCATATGAAAGGATATATATAGGCCAATATATCGGCTGATATATAGGTCAAAATAGCTAAAAAGAGGTAAAGAATATTAAGTGACCATATCGGTTGCGACAAGCCCTGTTAAAGGATTTATCTGACAATAATTGGGCCATGTCAGAGATATTTAAAACAAGAATTATAAGGGGTCTATGTACCCTCGAGTTAAAATTTAATTTGTTAAGGTCCTCAAGTTGGACTTTATTGTCCAAGCCTATGAGAAAGTGACAATATTGAAATCAATAAGGAATATGAGGCGCATGTCTTTGTGCGGGATTAATATAGAGGGTGCATGTACCCTCAAGTTTTAATTCCCAAATTGAGGTGCTACCATCCTCAAAATGGATTTTACTGATAAGGCTTCTTGAAAAATCAAATCTGACGTGTTAGGAGGAACGCATGCCATTTTTGCATTAATTAATATAGAGGATCCATCTACCTTCAAGTTGAGTTTTTATAATTGATTCTATAAGGTGTAGGCATCCTGGAGTTGATTTCACTTTCAATGCAACCTCAATATATTGAAGGCAACAATATTATCAAATGGTATTACGCTCTTTAATTAATTTGACTGTAGTTGATAGCGACGTTTCTTTATATTTTTTGGCCTATCTACAATGTCATAACTGGATATACTAGTTACTCTTCGTAGATGGATAACTACATAGTACAAGTGAATGATTCATATTAATCCAATAGTATATGATCATAGTCTGTTATACTCATAGTCTCATAGTGCCTTTCTGTAAGTAGGCAAATTTGTAATTCATACAACAATTGCATTGTCGTGTATTTAATCTACTAGCCCAAAGGTTCCCAGCAAGAGTGTGGTTAGACTTGCACAATAATATTCATGATTACTCTAAAAAAAGGGAGTCAATGGTTTACTACGCTGTAATATCTTAAGCTAAGATTTTCCATAAGATAATGCATTGAAAATTTATTGAGCCAGTGCAACTTTATAAAAACACACCTTGA